TTTTTTTTTTTTTTTTATAATTTCAGTTTGAAAATTAGAAAACAACTTTAGACCTAATGACCCTAGCCTCCTTTCTATCTTAAATTTCTGTAGTTTAAAAAAAGATTCTACTTGTGATAAACATTCTAAACACTTCGCAATATCCAAGTTCATGTCTTACATTAATCGTAACAAAATACCTACAGATGAAAAGTAGAAAAAAGCTTTTTTAGTTCTTAATGATGGAACATTAAAGACGAGTATTCATTTAAGTCTAATTTTGGATACAAGAGATAGGAAAGAAGTGGGCTATATGTCAAAACAACCACCTAAGCTACCTGGCTACGTGTTAGGTTGGGAATGGGTTATATATCCGGTGGGCTTTATCCTAAGTCTGCATGAAGTTTAGAAGGCTATATATCATAGACCAAAAACTATGTGTTTATTCACAGCCCACAAAAGAATTGTATTATATTCAGGTTTTGGTGTAGTTTCTTTGTTTTGACTATTCTCTTGTTGGTGCTAAAGCTTCAGGCAGATGGAAAAGATATGCAAATGTTTTGGGCAAGAGTTGAACAAGTGGAAGTGAGTTTAAAGAAAGCTGAAATAAGTCTAATAATCAATATTAATTGTCAAACTGTGTAAAGACTATTTCTATCTTTTGTTTATTTTTTCTAGGTCCAGTTTGCTGTTAATCAATCTTTTGCAGGAAATAAGGCAAATGAAATTTTGAATGAAATGAAATTAAATTTTATATCAAATCAGAAGAATGAGAGAAAAAATTTAGCGAATTCGATGATAAATAATAATAGTATTGCTATTTCTCCAAGCAGTTATAAAAAGGTTAGTGATTACAATAATTCTGTAATTATTTATAAATTATCTTCCTCAATTTTTTTTTGCATATTATACATGCAAATTAAAACAATAATAGGGCATTCTGTAGCCACTTCCTCTTCTACACGATTACAAAACCCTGATAAATCTGCAGCATATACCAGGATTTATGAACATTGTCCATATTATTTTTTATTTTTTACAAGTTCAGAGAGTGAATCTGGTAAAAATGACAAATCAGATAAAGATGAAGATGCTATATTCTTTGATATTAATACAATTTCATTTGATGATTATTTAAATCAAAATAGAATAAAATCTGGATGGAAACTGAAAGATGGTCGACCGATTGTTGATATTCTTAACACTAAAACTGCTGATGCTATGAAATTAATTTTAGAAAAGAATAAAAAAGAAAAAACACAATTTATGAAGAGTGTTATCCAGTATACTTTCTTACTTCTTGAAATACATTATTATTAAGATAGTTTCTAATATAGTAAATATAGACTGAGTTTTTCCTTAATTATTGATTTATCTTCTGAGTTTGAAAATAGAATGTTTATCTGGTTTGGCCAAGACTGGGTAGATATTAAAAGAAAGGTTTACAAAATTGTTAATATGAAACTACTTGTCTTTGAAGGAGAAATAAAAAATATTATTGATACTATTGAAGAGGAAGGTATTCATTTGTTAAACTTATAGATATATATATATATGTTATATACTTTATATATTATTTATCACAGATATGTGAGAGATACCGATATTATGAAGCTCATGACTATCTATATAAAATAAGAGCAAGTGACTATCCTCAAACAGTAGAACAAATAGCTATGATATACTTCTATATATAAGTTAATTTTTTTGATTTCATAATTATTCATATTAATTACCTACTAATACTATTAAAATTATTATTAGGATTAATGAATTTTTAAAAAATCATTTTATATTTGTAAACAATACAGGCAAATGTCAGAAACTTAGTAAAATTGAATATGCAATTACTATGACAGCACCAATAATAAATATTATATTTAATGATATCTTGAATTATTTAAAACTTCGCTAGTAAGATTATTATTGATTATAATAGAATAATACTAATTAACAATGATGTTTAATTATAGTTATATATATATATATAGGGGAGAGACATTATCTAATATCACACATGATCATTAAAAATGTTTATAAATATTAAAAGGTGTTCTTGACAACTTCTTAAAAGAAAATTTGTCAAATGAGGATGTCCCGGATTCAAAAATATTAGGCATTCAATTTTCTGGTAAGTTTATTACACAAATGAAACATTTTAAAATTAACTTTGTTCAAAAAACATATTTTACTCCAAAAAGAAAAAGAGAAAATCATACCCAAGGCAAATTTTCTGAAAATAATCATAACAATGATGTGTAATAGTAGTTTTCTTAATATAGTCAACTTTCTGTGATTAAACCTTACAAGTTATAAATAATTTTGGTTCATTTTTTAACATTAATAAATTTGTATTATGGCAATACATTACAAAATAATTTAAATTTCAGTATAAGTCCAAAGATTGTAAAATGTGGTATCGTTTTAGTTGACAATATGAAGCCTGAACAAAAAGATGGCATGATTAGATATTATAAATTAGCTGCAAATATATTATCTGTTTTAATATGCCGTTTATACAGTATGATACTGGTTAACCTATAATAATAATAATTTGAACTTTAATTATCTGATACAAGCTTCAATTAACCTAAACATAGATTCTAATACAGTAATATATACCATGTATTAGAATCCAAATTTATTGTCATAGATGATGCTGAAATTAAGGCATCTGATTGATTAAGATAAGAGCGATTAGCCAATAGGATTTTTAGATTTCATGATCATTTGAATTTTATGAACCTGTGTATGAACTCTAATCTTTCTAATCTCTCAAATTTCCCACTAAAGCTCGAATTACAATTGCTCTTAATCCCTTTGAATTAAATGATGCATCACAAGTTATAAAGCCATTTAAGATTAAAATAGAGTTTCTGTCATATATGCGTATCTAGGGTTTGGTCTGAAGTAAATTCTTCACATAGATGATGCAGACAAATTTTTATATGCGGAATTTATTTTAAAACGTGGACAAAAATTATCATTATATGAAAAAATGGAAATAACTTTATTATTTATACTTAAAGAGATATGATATCTATTGTTACAGTAGATTTTTAAGTAAATTCTTAAATTATTATTATTGTTATATATTAATTATTTAAGAATACAATAGATTCCCTTAGAAAATTTTTATATTCATACTGCTTATATATTCTATCACTACTTTTTTGCATGTTTTACAATATAAGTGTGAATGATGATTGCATCTGTTACAAATCTAAAGATATGCCACTTTTTGATATAATTTTGACTTTTTTTATTTGTAAGTATATTATTTCGATTTTTTATTATTATATTAACAGAAAAAAAAAATAATATAAGTTACGTGTTCTAAATTTTTTATTATACAAATCATAATATGTGACACTTGTGTTTGTGACTATTTGCAAACAAATTAATGATTTATTCTGCAAGTATATGCATGTCTATAATTTTTCTTGTCAATCCTATTACATTAAATATAATTTTTTTTTTACTAAAATTTGATATTTCTGATAATGCCTATTTATGCTATGAAAATCGAATATATTTTTAAAACAAATTATAATAAATAAAATCCTTAGTAAATAAAAGCATTTAAAATCAAATTATAGATAAAAGTTTTATTAATTTTGTAAATATATATGAAAATAGGCCCAGACTAGCTAAGTAGAAAATGAATATTAGAATAGTGGTATTTTAAGAAAAGAATATCTTGAGCCCTAACTTATAAAATAAGAGTTCCTTCCTACTACTCAATATCATCTAACTATTTACCTATATTATTAAGTTTAAAACTATTGCAATAAGTATTATTATTATAAAAATTTTTAACTATTGCTTGTTTAATATTTTCTTTAAATTCATAAATATGTATCACTACATTATAAATTATTTTATTAAAGGTGAGATTTCTTTTATTTATTACTCTACTGAAGATTTCTTTAAAGCAAGAGTAAATAGTTAAGGTAATGTTTGTGTATTGGATTTGTTTAGATTCTGAGAAATTTAGAGATGATCAAGTAGAAATAATAAATAGTTAGATATGGATAATAATATTTTACTTTGTTAATTAGAATAAAAGAGTATTGTTGATTGATTTTATTTTAGAGTGCTGTAATAGTTCTTCTAATTGTTTCAAATTATTAACAATTTAATTAAAATTATTATGATAAATTTCTAAAACCTGTTTGATTTTATTATATTTTTTATATATATTATTAATATAGTAATAATATTTTATACTTCTGTTGTATAATTAGCATTATAAAAATTTATTTTTGTAGTAAGATTAATATTAATTTTAGCTCTGATCTTGATAATTTTTTTAGCAATAGTAGTATTGATTTTGGTACTACAAGAGTTTGATTTATTAGTAATTTTAATTCTAACATCATACAAAAAAAACTATATAATAATAACCTCTATATATAAATAAATATTTTTGGAGAATAATTGCAAAGAATAAAAGCAAAGCAGGAAAACTATAAAAGATATATTTTTCAAAGTATTAAATAAATATATTTATACAAAGATGATCATATTAGATAATTGTTTATAAGAATTTAATTAAAGCTAAGTATTTTTAAGCAAATTTAGATAAAAACAAATCTGTATAATAGTTCATATTTATATTTAAATCTTTTTTTGTCTTTGTTAATTTAAAACTTTATTCTATAAATTATTAAACTATAAAAATACAAGAAATTTATATATAAATATAAACTAATATATGGCTTTGTTTTTGTTTAAATTAGCCTAATCAGAAATATGAAAAGTGATTTTTAAAGCAAAAGCTCTATATACAAATATATATATATATATATTTAAGCAGTTTTATCTTTATTTATATAAACTACTATATTTACAGACAATAGTAATATTGTTTTATATTTATAGTATATTGTTCTAATCTAACTAAGCCAAAACCCAATATGATCTGCTATAATAACTATTAGTTTACTCAGGAATCCTAAACTTACTCAAAATTTTGTATCAACGAGGATACCTTTCTTTGATTATCAACTAGTTGATGTATATCTTGTCAAAGCCACTTTTCTTTTTTAATTTTTTCTTCTTTTTTAAGAGTATAAGATAAAAGAGAGAAAATATGAAAGATTTTGATAAGATGATTTAAAAAAAAAAACAAAAAAGAATACCAACAAGAAAAAAAATAGGAAAAAGTAAAGAAATACATATTATGAAAAAAAAACTAGAAAAGAAAAAAATAAATTTAACTAACAAAAGCTATATTAAAGAAATCAAAAGTGCACTATTTTAATCTGTGTCAGGCTTGTAAAAATTGTATAACAATTGCAACAAATTATATATCTTTAGTTTAAAACTCACTTTAGTATTGATTATCTCCTTTTAACTAAGTCTTTTAATTTAGATCACATCTTTATACTATGGACTTAAGCATTATGAAGTGTTATCATACTTGTAAACAAATACATAATTACAAATATAATAATTCATCTAAATTAGAAAGTGTAAACATTGCCAATCTTTTGATGGGGGTAAGCTATTTTGCCACTTTTTTCAAAAATTTTGTTGCCAGAAGAAGTGAATAGTAGTATAGTCAAAATACTTCATATACTTATTCAAATTTTTAAATAAAAAAAAGATATTTTAAAAAGTAAAGAATTAAACATATATAGCCCAAGAAGCAACTCTTCTTTTTAGTAAGTAATAAACTCTAAAATTGTTGGCAAATAGTATATAACAACTACTTTTAAATAACAGGTACTATCCTTGCAGTAAATGATATACTCCGAGCTTACTAGCAGGTAGTATATAAGAACTATCTCTAAACAATAGGTGCTGACTTATAGTTTGTTTTTAACTTAGAATAACTTTTGTGATATGTCTAGTTAAAGCAGTATTATTTATTACCTGATTTTTTTTTATCAAAGGTATACCCCCTTCTCCTCTTCTTATTATATATTTAATCAGGTCTTTATATATAATTTTAACTTTTTTTATTACTCTTCTCTCTAAAAAATCACCTGATTTTTGTTATTTCTCTTATCTATTTAAGTAGTCTGCCTGGGTTCTACACTAGCCACCATACCTGCAATCTAACTAGAAGATTATCTATTTAAGCTCTTTGGCTTTTTACAAATAAGAGCATGACTAGCTATATTTGCAACTTTTGGTTGCTTATTTAAATAGTCTACTCTAGGTTCTATACTAGCTACTATACCTGCAATCTAACTAGAAAATTATTTATTTAAACTTTCTAGTTACAACTAGTTCATTATTCATTACCTAACCAAGATATAACTTACTATTCATAGCTAGATCTTGTGCTATCTATAGATTTATACCCTATCTAGAACTACTTTATTCTTGAGGTAAACCTAATAGAGCAATACATGATTTATGCATATATTTACCTGCATATTCAATAACTTCTTTCTAACTAGTACCTGTTGTATTGCCATCACTAGGTTTATATCTCAAGCTATCTTTTAGAATACTATTATAACCTGATTCATATCTCAAGCTACAACCTTTCTATATTAGTAGTTAGTTAATTACTTCTCACTTTTGTATTTGGGTTTACACAACTCTAGTACCTACATTTAGACTTTTTTCTTCTCTAAATTCCTTACTAGTCTATCCCTTATTTCTAGCCAACAACCCAGAAGAGTTGGTTTACCTAGACCTTAGATATTTATATGGTTTTCCTTTTCTTAGTATATGCTTTCAAAGTATATATCCTTTTTCTTTAGTTTGGCAACCTGGCAGTTTAGCTAGTATGTTCCCTCACTTAAAGATCTAGTCACTTGGTTTTCTAATCTCAGTCTTCAGTTCCAAATTTAATTCTTCTATAGTATTATTAAAGATTATACTACCTTTCAACTTAGAACTTGCCAAATAGGTTTTTAGTTATTTTAGTATCTTGAGTTTATTGTATTAAAGCTTTATTCTAGAATAATATAATCGAGACTACAGATTTCTAGATCCTACTAATTATTAAATTGTCATTAACTATATATAGAGCTATTTTTCAAAAAATATTGTCTATAAGATTCAAACTCTAGACCTGCTATCTGGAGATATAATAACTTCACCACTTCACTAAGTCACCATACTTTCTAATTTTAATTTTTTTGTATAATCTATTACTTTATTATTTATAATATATAAAGTTAAAACTTTAGCTAAATATAAACAAAGTATTATTATAATATTGGCTAGAGCTAGATTATTTAGATAAAGTTTTAATATCATATACAATCAGATCTCATTATAGTCACTCTTAATATATATAATTACAATCTTGTTATAATTATACTATTTTTTTGATCTTGCTATTATAAAACTTATAAATTTTGATCTTTATATAGTTACAACTTTTTATAATCACCAAAATTTTGTTTCTCAACCTGGTGATTATATCAAGGTCTGACTGTATATCTAATTTTTCTTTAACTGATTCTAATATAAATTTATCTAGATAGTTAATTTTTTCAAAAACTTTAATATATTTTTGATAATTTATTAGCTTTTCTTGTAATTTTAGAATCTTTTATTATTTTAACTATTTCAAGAGAAGATTTAAGTTCTTGTAATTCTTTTCTAAAATATAACAATTTAGAAGATACAATATTTTTATTTTTTGCAATTTTAACTAATTTATCTTATATAGATTTATATTTTTTACTAAAAATTTGTTATATAAAATTTGTTAAGCTATTTCTTTAACTATTTTTTTTAAATTTATTATTTTAAATAAAATAATATTTTAAATTATAAGGGTTATTTCTTTATATCTACTACTTTTTTAAATAGAAACTAATATAAATATTTGCTTTTTATTTAAACTATATTTTTCTTAAAGCTGCTTTTATATATTGTTTTTTTTCTATTATTTGTTAAATTTTTAAGAAACTTAACATATTAC